ACCCTTCCCTCAGTCCCTGACTTCCAGGCTGTTCCCCTGTCCCTGATTTCCAGCCCTTCCCTTCGCTCCCTGATTTCCAGCCTTTTCGCTCACTCCCTAATTTCCAAGCCTTCCTCCCCACCGTGATTTTCCATCCTTTCGGTCCCAGATTTCCAGCCTTTCCCTTCGATCTCCACTCTCCAGCCCTTCCTGCAACCCTCAATTTCCATCCCATTGCCCCGTTCCCCGGTTTCCATCCCCAGCCCGGACTCCCCGGGCTCTCCCCCGGCCCCGCCGTCCCCCTCGCTCCTTACGTGCTTCAGGCACCGCTCCTTGAGCTTCTCCACCGTGGTGTCCTCGGGCACCTCCTCCAGCCACTCCGCGCCCTCCATGGTGCACACATGGACCCTCAGCACCTTCCCCGCGAAGATCTTCTCCTCCTGCACGTACATCTCCCCCGGTGCCGCCGCTCCCGCCGCCGGCGGCGCCTCACCAGGCCCGGGGCAGCGCGGCGCGCTGCCGCCCGCCCATGAAGGAGCCCCGGGGCGGTCCGGGGGCGCAGGCGGAGGCGCTGTCCGTGCCCCGGGCGGCCCCGAGCGCGGTGTCCCCGCCGGTGTCACCGCCCGGGCCCCGCCGCCCCTCCGGGGACACGGCGGCGCTCCCGGAAACGGAACTGCGGCGGGCGCGGGGCATGCCGGGAGTTGTAGTTCCGCCGCCGCGGGCGCCCCCGGAAGGGAAGGGGCAGAACCGCCAACACCTGGGCTCGTAGTTGAGCTTTTCTTCAACGCTTCATAAGCCCTTAACACATGCTTAACAAACCTTTAATAAGCATTTAATAACGTTTGATAACGTTTAATGACGTTTAACGACGTTTAACGACGTTTAACACCGTCCGTTGCCGGCCCCGCGCCGCCGCGGTGACCGCGCGGCGGCCCCGGTGCATTGTGGGACGGCGCGCGGCGGGATCCCCGCGCTGCCCCCGGTGCATGTCGGGAGTTGTAGTTCCTGGCCCTGAGAGGCTCGGGGGGCCCGGGCAGCGATGGGGGGTCGCGGACACCCCCGGGGGCACCGGGGGGACCGAGGGGACCGGGGCAGCCCAGCGGGAACCTGCGGGCTCGGCCACGGGCACCGCGCGTTACCCCCGCCCGCCGTTAGGGGGGGCCCGCGAGCCGCCGGTTCCCTGCCCGCTCCCGTCCCTTCCCGTGGGATTCAATTTCCATTCAATTCCCAGGTTTTTTATTTATTTATTTATTTTATTATTAAAATTTTTTGCGTGCTGTGTTATTTATTATGCCTCGTTCCCCAGCTGCTTGGCTTCAGGTTTCACCAGAGCTACAGAGCGAAGTTTCCCCGAGTTTAAATTCCCTGTTTATTTAAATTAAAGCAGTAACGAAGCTGCTGGATTTTTATGGATGTGTGAAATGGAGCTGTACTTGTCCTGAGAATATGAGGAATATGTCATAGTTTCCCCTCCGAGAGTGAGCACTGCAATGTTCATGTTACACGGAGCCTGGAGTTGGTTGAAGGGCAGCTAGAGCTCCCTGGAAGGAATAAATCCAGGTGGAATTAGCAGACCCAGAGACAACAAAGCGATAAAGTGTTACGTGAGAAGGAGCTGAGAGCTCTGGAGAGCCAGAATTCCATCCCTTTAAAAGGCAGAGTCAGTTTGGGGCTGTCAAATGCTGCTGCAACCCAGGGGTGCCTCTCTGGGGGTCTTTGCATTTATTCCGTGCTGGGCCAGCACCTCCCAGGGGCCAGACGGGACATTTTCCTTCCCGTTTTCCAAGGAATCCCATTCCTTTCAGCCATGGCTCAGCTGCCAGCTCCAGAGCCCACGAGAGGGAGCAAATTCCTGCTCAGCAAACTCCGCTGGCCTCAGGGAATAACAACGGGAGTTTCCCTCCCAAAAGCGTGTCCCTGGAGTGCCCACGGGGGTCACACGAGGGGATGGGGCAGGTCCTGGGGCAGTGGGGTGACCCCAAGTACAGGGAGCAGTGGAATGATCTCAAATCCTTGTGAAGGCCAGGTACCAGCTGCTTGACACGCCCCGGCCACCAAATCCACCCTGAGAACTTCTCCTTCCTTCTGATTCCTGGCGTTTTTGCTTTCCCTGTTCCATGGGGGGAGCTGGAAATCTGGACACCAACTCGGGAAGGCACCACTTGGTGCCCCCCCCCCGGCAGCCACTGTTGGGGAGAACAAGGATAAGGTTTTACTGGGAGATATTTTAAACCAGCCAAGGAACACGGGATGATTTCCCAGCAGGTTGAATTCCGTGGTGAGCTCCTGGTGTGCGGAAGATGTTCCACAGCCATAAGGGAGCTCTCAGCAGTCACTGCTGCAAGGACAAGCAACATTTGGAGATGAATCTGGAGCTGAGGCAGAGAAAAAAGGAGATTTCTATCTTGAGTTGAAACAGTGCTTGCCTAACACAAGTGGAATACTTTATTTTCATGCTTTGAATGCAGCTCCTGTGTGCTTGATAAAATGGACCCATAAAATTGCAAATACAAGGCAATTTGACTACTGATGGCTAATGCATCATAACGGCCACGGGAATGGGAGCATTTAAAAATATCCCATTTAAACATGTGGCACTACCTCCTTCCCTTGCTCTACAGCAGAATAAATAAACAATATGTGTCTATTATGTTAATATTTTCCAAAGCCAAAAGAATGAGTGCACAATGTGCTACTTGCTTTTTATGGCCAATCCATTATGGCCAGAGACCAACTGTGGGAATGAGAAAAGGGGGAATCAACAGCTCCTTTCCTTTGAGGAAAGGCTCCTTTTGTTTTACTTCTCCAGGTGAATTATTTTCCATGACTGATTCCAGCAGCACGAACTTTCTCCATTATCCAACCTTGGCACCCCCTGGAAGTGTTCCAGGCCAGGTTGGATGGGGCTTGGAACAACCTGGTCTGGTGGAAGGTGTCCCTGCCCATGAGAGGGGGTGGGATGAGGTGGGCTTTAAGGTCCCTTCCAACCCAAACCATTCTGGGGTACTGGGATTCAAAGAGGGCAGGGGTGGGAACAGGACCTGTGTCCTCCACAGCCAGCAGTCTGTGCCTCTCCTGGGCTGATTTCTTCCCTTGCAAGGACTCCAAGGAGCTTATTCCAGACCAACCAGTGCTGGCAGAACGGGAACATCCAGTTCAGGAAAGTCCACACCAACAAACCCGTAATACCTTTTAAATTGTCTGTGAGTGGGAGGAAGAAAAGAGAGTGAAAATTACACACAATCCCCCTTCTCCCCCCCCAGCTTTTCCTGGGCAATCACAGAATTTAGCAGGACAACTCCTGTGGGATGCTCCATCATGTCATCCACGACTTGTGTATCAACTCCCTTTTCCTGCTGCTGCCGAGTGAAGAAATATGAGAACGGGAGGGATAATGAAGCAGACATGTTTTCTCCAAATCAAACCCATTCTCTCTTCAGCTGGGATAAAAGGGTAAAGAACTTCCCCTTCACGATATTTCTCTCAGTAATGTGTTTTGACAATTTAATTTAGAAGTCATAGAGTAGCAAAGACGAAGTCACCCGGTGGGTGGACACCAGCGAGTTCAGTTGCCTTTGTGATGAATTGGTGATAGTCCAGAGATGACAAAACAACACAGGGGGACAAGAGGGAGGCTGGCAGCACTGTCTGCAGCGTGCACAGGATAAATTGAATGCTACACTTCATCCAGGAGCTCCAGCAGTCCCAGGCATTCCGACGTAATTTATGAACTGCAATTAGCATTTTATTACGGCTCGTGCCTGAGCTGCACCAATCACTCGGATTCAGGTTTTGCAAGAGTTGCACAGCAAAGTTTTTGTAAGTTTAAAGTACCTGTTTATTCAAATTAAAGCAATAAATATGCTCAAGAGGTGGCTTTCCTGTTTTCCAGTTGCAGAGGTTGAGAGTGTGGGTTTCTCGCGGAGGTTTTTAGCGGCTCTGACAGCAGACACGTGTCCTGCTTGTGTTGGACAGCCTGCCCCAGGAACGCTGTGGGATTGCTGCAGGATCACCAGCAAAGCAGCCATGGGAAGCACCAGGATCTGTCTGTGCCCAGCAGCCCCAGTTTGGGATCTCAGCTGTGCCCATCACCCAAGCTGGTGCCTCACTGTGCCACAGAGGAGCCCCTGCCCTCACCTACCCTCTGAGCCCTCTCTCTGTGTGGCTCTGAAGCCCCACGGGAGCCCCATCCTGATGGTCTGAGGCTGATGGCTCCCAGGTTTGTTTCTCCTTTCTTGAGACATGGAAACTTCTGTCTCCTGCCCCTTGGCAACTTCCCCAGCCAGACAGCAGAGGAGCAGCCACTCCTGCTCCTCCCCTCTCCACCCCAGCTGGGGAGCAGTGCCCCTCTGTTTTCCCTGCCCTGCAAACAGAGGAGCATCTTAAAAACCTTTCTGAAAGGAGTGTCTGAAGTTGGAAACTGGAAGACTTGGTGGGCAATAACCACCAGAATGTCATTTCCAGCACTGGTTCAGGACCCACAGCATCTCAGAGTCCCTCTGTCCCATCCAGCTTTGCCTGCAGCTGACATCCCAATGCAGGGACACGCAGATCTGTTGTACAATTTAACTCCAGAATCGCTCTGAAAGGCCCCCGACTGTGCTCCAAACGACTCTGCAGGTTGTTATAAATATACAAAGCTTTTTGTGGGGATATTCATGAAATTCTATCACCGCTTACCGGGGCTGGTAATGGCCTTGTTTATGTATGGGCTCTATACCTGGCTTTGCAGCCTCTCCAAACACAATTCCATTACGCTGTTTAACTGCTCTATCAGTGCAGTACTTAGCTCTCCCTGCTTCCCAGCACAGCTCCTTAATGGCCAGGGAAGGTATTAGGCGCTGCAGTTTGTGAGTATTCAAAAGAAAGTTCAAATCTCACAATGTCTTTATTTTAAAATTCATGGAATTTCTAAGTACCAACTTCTAAGCCATGACCAAATAGTCATTTCTTTCTTAAACAATCTTCCCCCCCCCCCTTCTCCTCCACCAGTTAACTTGCTCTCCCCAGCAGGACCCGCAGCTCTGCAGGTGCCAGTCCCTGCCTGTGCCACTGCAGGGTCACCAACACCCTCGGGGTGCCCACCAGCTCTTTGATGCCCAAGAGCAGCCACAGCCCTCATCAACCAGGGGGACATTGCTCTGGGGGCACTGGGGTGGTCACTGTGGGGGTTTGAAGGCAGTGTGGGGCAGGGGACCAGCCGTGCCCTCCCTGAGGAGCGCTGGGTGGGCATCGACCAGGGGAGAAGATCAAGGAGGGAAAGAGAATTAGAATTCAGGGGATATTTAAAAGGATGTGCAGTCCCTGTGAGAGAAGGGCAGCAGGATCAGACCACTGGGAGTGTCAGGGGCAGGAATCATCCCTGAAGTCATCCCTCATCCTCAGCTGTGATGGGGTGACCCAGCTGGGCAGTGCCACCAAAGCTGCTCCAGTACCACCACCCCTACAGCCCCGCACCCCCTAACTCTTGCCATCAGTACATCAGCACTTTCCCTTTTGGCATTGCATGACCCAGTTCCCAGATTTCTTTCCTAAACTGAGAAGAAAACCCCTTCAACTTCGTATTTGAAGTCCCACTTCCCACACAGGAATGATGAATCCCCACATCCCCCCCCCATCCATCAGGTGCCGTTTAACCTGAGACTCTCACTGTGGCATCTGGGTGGCAGGAGGCAGCTGGGAGGATTTGCCTTCTCTTTTTTCCAGCTGATCCAGAGCGTTTTCTCATTTCCTCGTATGTTTTGGCAGAATGTCACAATTTAATTGTTGGAAACAAGAGCAGGAAATATTAGCGGCACTGGCACAATAGGATTTTAATTTAGCTTCAGGACAGAAATGGGGCTCTAGCAGAGTGCCAGGCTCCAGGATTGCCTGTGAGTACAAGAAGCCTGGAGTTTGCCTAATAGTTTGCACAACTGGGGTAATTCTGCAGGGATGTGAGGGACTTAATTGGGCTCATGCTTAAACATCCTCGTAATGTGAGGCACACTGCGCGCTCTCAGCATCATTATTAAACAGCCCATTTCACTTTTTAATGATCATCTTGGATCACTGTAACAGTGATCAGCAAATAATCCTGGACAAATAAACATCTGTCTTCAGTGTTCCCAGAGCTGGGGCTGCCACTGGGCTCTGAGTGAGCAGGGACAGCCATGCCCCCAGCCCCAAGGGAGCCCCCAGTAACCCCCCTCTGCCCAGTGCCCTTCATCTCTCTGGTGGGCTCAGAGGTCGGGGTTGCTCCTCAGCACCAGGAACCCCTCGGGACATCAGTGTGTGCCCCAAACACCACAGGGCTGCTCAGGCAGGGGGGGTGTCACCGCCCTCCTTGACATTGAGGTAAAATATGGGGCATCCCTGAATTATTCACTTGGTGAGAGGGGCTCTCAGGATGGTGTGTGTTGCTGTTCTGCAGTGTAATTAATAGTCTTTAGATTAAATATGAAATCATTCCTCGTCATTAATAATTTAGCCGCAGCGTGGCGATCGTTAGAGAGCAGAAGCACTTCATATTCCTCTCCAGTCTGTTGCCTGGAACGCTTTGGGGGAAGCCGGCTGCCCTTCCATCCATCTCAATTACAGCTCCTGGCTGCTCATTTCCTCCTTGAACATTGTTTTGCCAAGGTGTGAAACTCTTCCGCTGCTCCCGAGCCAGTGCTGAGTTGTGTCGGTGCGTCCTGGAAGTGAAACGGTGTCCGTGTGTCCTGGAAGTGAGGGGCTGGTGCTCCACATCCCCAGTGACCTGCTGTGGGGTGGAGGTGCCAACCTCTGGTGCTTCCCGAGGTGCCTGTGCTCAAGCCTGGGCAGTGCCATGAGTTTTTGGGTTGGATTGAGCTCAAACAGATCTTCCACCTTCCTCTCTGTGGGCCCCAAGGAGGGTCTGAGACTGCAGAGGGAGGAAGAGGGATGGAGGCACCTGCACTGCCCCCCTGCCATGGCTTTTGCCACCAGCACCAGCCCAACTCCACAGCACAATAGCCTGGTTCCTATAATTCCCAGAAAGCAGGAGCTGACCCACCTCCCCTCCATCTCTTCCAGCCCCCAGGCCCCACTGCTGTGCTTTTGCAGGTAGGATGGGGATGGTGGTTTTTTGCTAATGCTGACAACTCCCATAATTTAGCTTTATACCAGCACTAAAACTGGAGAAAAAATTCCTGTCCTGGGACGTCTGTGGCACAGTTGTGGCTGAGGGAGGATTTACATGCAGCCACAGCAGCTCCCAGCAAGGAAAACACCCCAGTGCACACAGAGAGGGGTAACAGCCCCTGAACTGTCTCCAGCCATGAAAGCAGCCATCCCAGTGCTGTTCCCTGTGGGGACAAACCCCAGCTTCACCTTATTCCATCGTGACCAGTGGGAAAGGAGGGGGGAAAGCCCCATCCACACCCTTCTGTGATTCTGGTGGGTTCCCACCTGGGTGCTGGACGCCCATCTGGTGCAGGGTGTGAGGGTGCCCTGGGGGGAGCAGGGATGCTCAAGGGCAGGAACAAACAGCAGCCTGGACAGATGGATGGCTAAATCCTCCTGGAGACAGGACCTGGAGGAGGAGGAACATTTTGGATCCCCATGGTGCCAGGCTGGGGCTGTGCCAGCAGCAGCTCCGGCGGGTCCCTGCCTTTCTCCGAGCGCCGTAATTCCTGCTGCCGAACAGCAAACAAATGTTACACAGCTGCTGCAGTAAAACCTGGAATCAAAGCCAACCCCCCCGGGGGTGCCAGCAGCGAGAAGGGATGAAGGGGCAGGATGAGGCCGATCCCAGCGCGGGGCAGGGAATGGCAGCCCTGGGCTCAGCAGGGCTCAGGTAGCGGCTCTGGGGGTCCCGGCGAGTCCCACGGCCCCGGCAAACCCGGGTACTAAATGTCACCTCTCCCGGGGAGCCCTAAATATCCACATGGCTGCTGTAACCTTTATGGAGCCCTCCTGATTCACCGCGAGCTGTTACAAGAGGATAAACTTGTTTGCACACCTGGCTGGGTTTTAAATAGGTTTAATTCCTTTGTGCCTCTCCGCAGCTTCCCCCGATGAGTAAATGACTTGTCAGCTGTCGAAGGCTGAACGCGGCTGCCTCCGACCTGCCCCCGCACTGCTTCCCCACCGGCAGCATCCCCTGGGGTGCCTGGGAGCTGCTGGGGCACAGAGCCAGCTTGGCCAGAAATGAGGGGCTGGCCCCAAAGTGCTGCTTTCCATGGGGTGGGAGGATGTGGGGTGATGGGGGTGGAGGGGCAGCAGGAGGCCAAAGACATCTTAGGGGCTCAAAAAGCTTCTGGGGGAGCCCCATTGTGTTGGGCATCCTCCCAGGAGGGGCTGGTCCCCAAATCCCTCTGTGCTGAATAATGGGATGCCCACATCCTACAGGGAGAGCGGCTGCAGTGACGGGAAAGGTGCTGATCTGATGCTGACAAGGAGAGGGTGACCCTGGGGTTGGATCTGTCCCTAAATCACCCCAAAGGTACCACGGTGGTGTCCCCAGGTGGGGTGCAAGGAGCTGGGGGAGCTGAAGGTGGTGAGACCCCGGGCATCCACTCATTGGGGCTTGGGGAGCTGGGGCTGGGGAGATCCCAGGCATCATCCTGCTGGGGCTGAGGGAGCTGGAGAGATC